CTAAGATTCAATCTTAAACAAGTATAAATCTGCTTACTAATCCTCTTCCAGGATAAGTTATCATATCCATTAGCAAGAACCAGTGTCCAAAAAGGTAAAGGTGACATTTAAGGTCCTTAGTTCAGTTCAACTTTGCCTCAACACTCTAAAAACATTAGTCATCACACCTTCTTTCGTTTGGGATGGAGAGATGGTTGCATTAAAGCTAAGAATCTTTAAGGTAACTTCTCAGCCTAGTGAAGTAGAAGCACAAGGAAGTGCTGACTTAACTGAAATCACCATTCTCCATTAACTTAATGGCATCCTCAGTTAGCTTGTCAAATACAGCTTTGTCTCAGCTGACATTTTCTCTTTTCTGTTATTTGAAGTTCCTTTCAACCTTCTCAGAGCTTGTAAAACCTGTCAAGAGAAAATAAAATTAGCTTTAAACTGTTCCCTTGTAACTTATTCAATTACCGAATAGATAAACATGTCTAATATCCTGTGCATGTGGGATAGAGCTTAGAACTGAAAATGAGAAGTTCTTTTTCCAAAAAAAATACTCTCTATCTACCATTCAAAAGCAACCGTGACTTTTACCAAAAAAGGAAAAAATATCTAGAAGAGATTATCTACAATACTTGACAGCCTTAGTATAATTTATGCCCTAATGTGAGCAGGTTTATGAACCCAGATTAGCCACATAAGTTCTGACCCTGAATAGAATTACTGTGAACATCTAAAATAAGCATTACAACTCAAATAAATACATTAAATTCCAGCATAAAATCATAATCTAATATAAGAACCAGGTACGGAATCCGCTATTCACTTTATAGTTTATATATAGGGCCCTGATATCATGAAAATCAAAGCTAAATGGAACCCAAGGTTTAGTCCAGTTGGTACATGCAATTCTTAAAATGTGACCTCATCATGTTGGACATTCGGACCCCAGCATCTACAACCCCTTTCCTATCCTAGACTGTAGCCTCTTCTGTATGTAAAAAAAATGCAAATTCTGTAACGTGTAACACAATTGTTCTTTGGAAGTATACCATTTTTTTCTCTCAGAAAAATTATTCATCATGATGTACATTACCGTTTCTCCAGGTTCAAGCACATCAGCAATCCGTCTCTTTATTTTCCCAATGTCTTGAGCGGAAAGTTCCTTTGCGGCAACTTCATTATTTTCACCATTTGTTGTTACAGATGCTTTTCTTGTATTTTTTACATCAGCTTCAACACTATCAAGCCAGGCATCCTACAATAAACCCATGAGATAGTCAACAGAAGCTCTGGTAATTATATTCACCATCTTCAGGTCAATACAACGCTTTACCTTGATTTCCTTGTCGGCGACATATTCAACAAAGTTCCCTTCCGCATCAAAGTATCCTTCTTCTCTTTCTTTGTCAAGATTGAAGGGTTCTATTTGAACTCCATCATCAATGAAGTTCTCATTATCCTGCAAAAAGAAATTCCTCATCATTAACTAATCCTTTCCCCTGAACCAAAAATTTAGGACTCTAGCAGTCATCTTGACTGTAAAAAATGCTCCCAATTCAGGAAAGAAGCATCATAAAATTAAGAGCTCGCTAAATAACAAAGTTCAAATCCAGGTGCGTGATAGTTCAGAGTGGCACTAAAAATTGTAAGAGGCAACACCTAAACTACAGCAAATTGAAGATGAAGATGCTTTTTTGAATTAGAAATGAATAGGAAACCACCCTTCTACCAATTATTAGAGTCAGAGACTAAACTTGGAGAAAGCTGCTGTACATAACTGGCAGACCACCAAAAACTATATAAGAATACAAAGATTGAGAATAATATTCTACCCTTTGAACAGCTAGGATAAATTGGCATTAATTCAGAAAACATGGAGCGCATAATCAACATCTTATGGCATGTTCATTCTATCAAGTTCAATACAGAATCCAAAATTGGACAGACTAAGAGCACAATAAACTTACCTCATATGAAACTTCAGCAGCCAAGACATCATTAAGCATTCCTCGTCCATCTTCAGCAATAGTTCTGTAGTAATTTCACTGCGGCATTTGGCACATTCCATAGCGGCAAAATGAGGATCCGTCAAGTCAACCAAACCGTCTTCAATATCAACTCTATTCACGGCTTCTTCTCCAGGTTTACTTTCTTTCCCTTGGGAAACCTGACCCTCTTTGCCTGTAAATAAACATACTAATTTAATTCTAAAATTCAAACAGTCAATTAAGCCACTGATGTAATGAGAAAGGTGACACCTACTACTGGGTTCAAACCCGAGCAATCTCAATCCCTTCCCTCCCCCTTAAAAAGAAAAAATTATAAAATTCAATTATAAACGATTCCAGGAGAAATGGAAGGAAAGAAAGGGGAGACATAAAAGTAACCCCAGTTTCCTTCCAGGAATTTAACTTATCGATGCTACCGAAGACTTGACTACAATCGAAAGGGGGAAACAAAAAGCTTAATTCAAACCCTAGAAAGAAACAATAAACTAAGAAGCACCCTAAAATATATTGACAGATAAAATTTTCAAGAAGAGAATAGGATATAAACGGAGAACGAGCATAACTACAAGATTAAACAGCTGCTTCAAGATATTGAAATATGAAAGGGAAAACGAAAGAGGATTGGAAGAAAATAATTACGCAGGAGGCTTGTTGAAGTCTTGGTCTTCGAAGAATTGGCGCTTGAGATGAGAGCGCGGAGGGTTTTCTTCCATCTCACCTCCAACGTTTTTTTGTTTGTTTGTTTTCCCCTCAAACGATTAACTGACTTCGAGGGTTGTTACGCCGAGAAGTGAGAGTGGGCGAGAAAAATAAAGGGTAAACTACATTAGTTCTCACTGAAATTTTAGTAATTTTTTCTTTTCTTGTTTGATGTTTCAAAAATAATGATTTATAATAGAATATTAGGGTCTGTTTGTTTCCCGTAATTCGAATTACGGAATCGATTTTCCCCGAATTCCAGTGTTTGTTTCACGTAATTCATTTTCCGGAAAATGTTTTCCCGTGTTTGTTTCACGTAATTCGTTTTCCGGAAAACGTTTTCCCGTGTTTGTTTCACGTAATTCGTTTTCCGGAATGTAATTCATTTTCCTAGTAACAGAATTTCCTTTGTGTTTTCTGTAAAATGACTTACGGATTCATTTTCCGTAAGTCATTTTCCGAACTTTTCACTTCAAAGCAAAAATACTCAAAATAATTTTATTTTATGAATTTAATATTTATAAAATATTTTAATATCATTTTCATCAAAATATTAATTATTAAAATATTTAAAATATATTTATTAATATTTATAATAATATAATATTATATTTTTAATATTATATAAAATAATCAATTATATTATAATAATATAAGATATTATATTTTTATTTTAATAATATATAATAATTTTTTTTATATATTTAATAATGAATAATATTATTTATATTTTCAATAATATTTTAGTAAAGATATTAAAATATACTAATTAATATTTTTAAAATATAATATAGTACTATTACTTTAATAAATAATTAAATATAATTTATAAAATTTTATTTCACTAAAAATATACCGAAAAAATGTTTAAATAACATCTTTCAAACATCATAAAACGTTTTCCAGATGTTTTCCAGAAATGTAATTCATTTTCCAGAAATGTAATTCATTTTACAGAAATGTAATTCATTTTCCAGTAATTCAAATTCCAGTAATTCAAATTCCAGTAATTCATTTTCTGGAAAACCAATTACAGCTAAACAAACAGACCCTTAATGTAATGTATTAAATCAATTGATTTGTCACTATTTGATTATGAGACAATAATTTTAATCAGTTTTAACTCTTTCTCTTTAAAGAGGAAGAGTTAAAGTTATAGAAATCTATAAAATTAAAGTAGGATCCCCTCTCCTCTTATGTGCTTGTTATAGTCAAATAACTTGATACAAACTCTCTCACAAAGTAAATTTGAACATGTTAGAACAAGCAAAAAGGAATGATATCTGACGTGAAAGTCTTTTCCCGATGCTATATTCCATCCTTTTTTAGGTAGATCAGTACTGACGGATTCACATATATGTTAGGATATTTATGTGTCTATATTGAAATTTAAATTTCTTTTAAATAGTATTTATTTTATTGATGATATTTATTTTAAAATTTTATCTGTGTTCACTACATACATTGATGCATGTTTGTGTTAGGGTGGCTACATACCCACCTTGAAAGTTGATTTTGTTTAGTTAATGACCTATTTTATTAATTATGCTCACCATAAATTTTTATTTGTACTCACTCCATACGCAGATTTACGCTTGTGTTAGGGTGGGTACGTGCCCACCTTGAAATTCAAATTTCCTTAAATTAGTAACTTATTTGTGCCCATTACATAAATTAACTGATCATATTCTCATATGTAATGGGGTAACGGGGAGGTAGGGTAGTAGGCTGTTCCCAACGCCATGTTGAGAGCAACTTCCATGGAAGACCTCCGGCAGTCAGAATTATGAATTGCCCACCGTGGGACTCGATCCCACGACCACAAGGTTAAGAGCCATTACATATTAAGATGAATTTGAAGATGAAATTAGACTATTTAAAAGCTTGGGAACCAATTTAGAAATAGAGTCATAGTTTAGGGATAAAAATTAGAATAATCAAAAGTTTAAGTATTAATTTAGATTGAGAGTCATAGTTTAGGGATGAAATTGGAATATTCAAAAGTATGAGGATGAATTTGAAAGGAATATTGTAGTTTGGGGACATATGATGCAATTAACTCTTTAATCTTTAAATCAATGTAACCCGTCAACGCCATATGTCGCGTACCAATTCGTCAACTGATTAAGCTTGCTTTCCATTCCATTCCACGACATGAACTTTCTCTGCCTTTCCGCTTTTCAATAAGCAGAAAAACAAAACAAAAGAGAAAAGAAAGCAAAATACCAAATCATTTTTCATATTTGTTTATTTCATAAAGTCTAACTACTTGAAAACAAAAACAAAATAAAACCCAGTAAGACAGTCAAAAGGCAGAAAGACCTCTCCTCTTCTTTCGTTCCCATCCTTTGCTTATCTCAGCAATCAAACAAATCAATTCCAAAAAAAAAAAAAACAAATCAAATCAAGTCCCTCGATCTTTTTTTTGTGTTCAGCTCATGGCGGATCGAGCCTCCTACAGTTTGGCTCCTAGATTAGGTTGGTTCTCTTCCGGTCTCTTTCACCTACTTTTTTTAATTATATATTTATAATAGGTCTTCAGATTTGCGTACTATTTCAACGCGTTTTTAATCTCAATTTTGCGCCTAGTTCCGTTATTGTCATTAGTACTTAGTTTTAGTTTTAAATTGATCCGTGATAGAATTGTGTTTGTTTTAGTGGATATTTTACGGGGCTTTCCCTTGAGGAAGTTGGAGTTAGGTCTGGAGTTATAACTTAGTTCAATTATTGAGGAAAATGGAGATTAGTTTAGGGATATAACTAAATTCAGTTACTAAGGCTGGATGGGAGGAATTGATAAATTTTTAGCATTGAGGAACTTATTATTATCTGAATAAATCTGGATTTAGGGTTTGACTGTTCAATTATATAATTTATGATGATTTGAGCTTTTCTTGCTTGCATTGAGGAGTATAATTTATTTTCATAATAACTTCAGTTTTGAAGTGAGAACACTTTGTATAACTTTAGAAAGCTTTGAGGGGAAAATACTTAAAGACACTATCAAATACGCCACTAGTCTGTGCTTTGGTAGTGCAAATTCATGCTTTGTTTATCTGCTATAAACACAGGAAGTTTCGCTTGCATCCTAGGTTTTGCTGACTGAAGCTTTTGCATTATGGGCAATTTGTAGTTTTAACTCTCTTAAGGCACTGTGAATGCTCCAAACAAAATTTAACAGCGTGACTTATTTTTTTGTATTGCAAATAAATTTGTGAGTGATTGGAGTTATAACATCATTCATTATTAGACTTTCTTAACTTTTGAAAGTGGAATATAGGTGAAGAGTGTTATTTAATGATAATATGATTGAAGCTTTTTGCTAAAATAGTTCCCTCTATCTCTTGGACAAGTGTGAACTCTTAATATGAATGAAGTTTCTATTTTTCCATGTCATATGTTTTCTTGTGCTAATATATCTTTTACTAATTATATTTTGTTTCCTGATTTGTAGATATTGAACAGATATTACTAGAAGCCCAGCATAGGTGGTTAAGACCTGCTGAAATTTGTGAAATTCTTCGAAATTATCAGAAGTTCCAAATTACATCAGAGCCTCCTACAAGACCTCCAAGTATGAAATTTGAAAAGCATTTCATGGTTGGGACAAAATTTCATGACAATTTATGTTTGTTGTGAATAAACATAATTATATTATGAATTTATGATTATTAAGTGCTTTGATAAAAGCATACAGGAATAATCATTTCAGTAGTATATTGATGTTGTTTTGAGTGTTCCTTACTTTTTTTATTATTATTTAATCTTTAATTTTTGCTTTCTTGTACTGTACATTCCTAAAAAATTGTTTTGTTTGATCATTAAAGCTGAATAAAAATGCTTTAAGAAAACATGCAACGTGGATATTATCATTGTGATTTATTTTTATTATTGTTATGATATTATGGTTGATTTAGGGTTAAACAGCCAAATGGATTGACATGAATTTAAACTTTGTAGGTGGTTCGCTCTTTCTTTTTGATCGAAAGGTGTTAAGATACTTTAGGAAGGATGGACATAATTGGAGGAAGAAAAAAGATGGGAAGACTGTGAAGGAAGCTCATGAGAAGCTGAAGGTAAGTAATGCAGCCATAGAAAGATGAAGTTTTCTTGTTCTTGTTATATAATTTTATCAGTTCAGGACGTCTTTATTTAGTGACTATACTATCGATTGGAAATTTTGCCTAAGAATAACTTCTTTAAAACTATTTTAGGTTGGGAGCGTTGATATGTTGCATTGCTACTATGCCCATGGAGAAGAGAATGAAAACTTTCAAAGGCGCAGCTATTGGATGCTTGAACCGTATGGCTTAATTATATATATATATATATATATTATATGTGTTTGTGGTTAGTCATAGACATTGTGGGGATGTTATCATGTTCCTATACTTTTATGTTTCCTCTCTCTTTTGGTTTATTTCTTTATTCCAGTTAATTACACATATTTTGCTTTGCAACTGTGTGCTAGTTCCGCAGTGCATAGAAAAAGGTACTTCTATGAGTACCAGCTATGTGGGCATAAAGTAATATCAATTTAACAGTGTTCAATAATTGTTTTATGCATGAGCCTCATTTTCCATGTAAAGCATGCAGGTTTTCTTAGAAGCCTCTACTGGTTTTTAATGTGGGAATTTGTGGAGTACAACAGAGTATGATTCATTTTCTTTAAAATCTGTCACAATGGTTGTTGCATCATCTTTGCTTACATTGACTTTTACAGCAATTGAGGAAGTCAATATTTAAATTTCTTTATAAGCGTTTTTAGGCTGAGTAATTTCAATCAACAATTTATTAGCAATTAATGTAATTATTCTGTGACTTGTGTTGTTTGGAACCCTCCTAGGGCAATGACTTCATTGGTGGTCTGATATGTATATGTAATTTATTTATTTAATTTTTTTTGGGGGGAGGGTGATATTTGGAATTCCAAATGTAATTTCTTGTCCCTAAGCGTTGTTAATTTTGGTTTGAATGGTTTTGTTACTATTGTAGGGACTTGATGCATATAGTTTTTGTGCACTACTTGGAGGTTAAGGTAACCACTCACTTCTTTTATTTCTGATGACAATTTTATCTTGACTAGGCCGCTGTTTTACCTCCTTTGAGCAGTCAAATCTTCCACATGTTAAACTTTTCCTTTCTTCAGATCTGACTTTATTGGTATCTTTTCCTTCAGGGTAGTAGAACAATTGGAGGCATAAGAGAGACCAGTGATGTATCAAATTCGCAAACAAGCAGTCCTTTGACTTCTAGCTATTCTGTTACTCGTACAAAAGAACCTTCTGCAAATGCAAATTCAGCAAGCTCAATTACCAGTTTAACATCCTTATGTGAAGATGATGATTCTGGTATTTTTTTATCCTGTGCTCTGTCCTATTCACATCCTTCTGCCAATATAGTGTAATGGTATTAAGTTCCATCTTTATTCTCTCATTATGCATACAAATTTCAATTCCACTTATATGAGGTACTATGCAGAGGATAGTCACCAAGCAAGTTCTAGATTCCATACATCACCCCAAATAGGAAATGCTACTGTGATGAACAAGTTGGATCCCAGTTTTTTTAATCACTATTCTCCACATCCCTTTCAAGGTAAGCATTGTTGTTTTATATGTCAGCTCGTTTCTATTGATTGCTTTATGCATTAATTTTTTGCATGATGTTGCATTTGAGTGCTTGGTTTTAAAAAGCGTAAAGCGCCCTAAAGCGCCTAGGGTCCTAGACGCCGAAGCGCTAAGCGAAAGCGCTCGCTTTATGCACAAGAAGCCCCAGAAAGGCCGAAATTCACAAAAAATACAAAATATTTATAAATTATCTTATAAATACTTAAATATCAAAGTGTCAATACATATATTCAAAACTTATAAGTACTTAAACACCAAAATATAATTCTCAATTTACTTATAACTTATAAGTTATAAACACTTAAATACTTATATACGATTAACCATACGACTATACGAGCATACTAATCTCAAAAGATGGTCTACACTAAAAGTAGTCTAAAGTGAGATGAACAAAAGTATTTTTCTAAACCCTCAATTTCTTATAACTAAAAATCCTCTAAATCGTCATCGTCATCAACTCGGACAACACCATCTCCTTCATCACTAGACACTCCAATATCTTCTTCCATCTCATCTTCATCAACTAAGCATCTACGAGATGGTCTACTAGAGATAGGATTATGAGAAGGAGATTTACCTTTATCATTTCTCGATGGTCTGGCTCCATCATTCACTACTTTTGATGCTATAGTTAGATAACTAGGCTCATATGCACCGGAAGCGTTAGCAACATCACTCTATGTCAAATCCTCACCAACAAACACCGCCTCATCATCATCTTCATCTTCTTCCATTCTTCCCATCAACCACTCATTGCTCTCATCAATATCTTGCAAAAGAATGGGATCGATCTCCTTACTTTTAGCTCGGCGCTCCAAGGCATGATTGAATTTCACAAACACCATGTCATTCAATCTAGATTGTGCCAATCTATTTTGTTTCTTAGTGTGAAGCTACAAGAAAAAAAAACCAAAACTGATAATTTAATAGCCCGCTAAACCCTAAATAAGCCCAAAAATCGTATCTGCTAAAGCCCAGAATCGTATCATCTAAACTCGCGATTAAGCGCCGATTAGCGCTTTGCTAAAAGCGCTGCAAAAGCGCCGATTACTACCGCTTAATGAATTCGTAGTGCTTTTGCTATGCTGAAGCGCCAGGGGCCTCGCTCGCGTCGCTTAGCGCTTTAATCGCGCTTAAGCGGCGCTTTTTTAAACTAAGTTTGAGTGTGATGGAAACTTGAAACTCTTAGAATATGATTATGAAGGCCAAGTATCAATTCCTGGAACAAATGAAGTTTCACATCTTCATGGAGATAGACCTGGGGATATTAATTATGGCTCTTGTATGACCGGATCTCAAAGAACACTTGATTCATCTTGGGAACAAGACTTGGAGCAATATATGCCTGTATATACCGATGCATCTTTTAATGCTTCACCAAATTCTAGTCAACATGATGCTATTAGCACTAGCCTGCAACAAGAAACGGTGATGAAAGGCAAGCTATTAACTGTTGAGAGTGCTGGCGGGGAGTTTGGAAATCCTTTGCCAACACAACCACATTGGCAGGTATTCTTGGTAGTTTCATTTTGTACCTTAGGTATAAATCATTTAGTTTCTACTTCATGTTCATAAGTTTTGGATCGTACCTTAAAAACTGCTATTTGTAATATTTTTCTTCTGTATATTACCTATCATATTATGTAGAAATTGTTTGAAGCAAAATAATTAATTATTAACAAAAATGGTTTATTGGTATCATTTTTTTTAGTGTTAAATGTTTATATAATTCGGTTTATTGCTAGAAATTGTTATTCTTTTTCACTTTCCTTTATTGAGCATACAGCATTGAATAGTGTCAGAGCTGAATGAAATTTAGATGGTTATAGTAAATTGTCGGCTTTCAATTTTATTTTTTTTAACTGATGTGTAATGCCTAAAGGATTGATTAGAAGTAATAGAGCATACAGTCACAAAATATCCAATTCTTAACCAAACTTCTTTTTCTATATTTGTTTTCTGTCTGCACTTTTGATGTTTAGACTTATTGGATCTTTTGTCAAATTCATGATATATATATATATGTTCTAATTCAAGTACATCTTTCAGATTCCTTTGGCTGACAATGCCTTAGAGTTGCCCAAATGGCCCATGGATCCATCATCAAATTTTGATTTGCCATATGATACTAAGTTATTTGAGCAGAATGCTCCTGCTTTTCATTTGCCAAATGCTCTTGAGGATTTCTCCGAGCATGATGACTTAAATGATCGGCATCTGCATAAAGATCAACAAATACAGAGTAGCAATGCAGATCCTAATTCTTTCATGAGAACATATCCTGAGAACGATATGCGTTTGGATGGAAATGTCAACTATGCTTTGTCTCTGAAAAAATCGTTACTTGATGGAGAAGAAGGCTTGAAGAAAGTTGACAGTTTTTCACGATGGGTTACTAGAGAACTTGGAGAAGTAGATGATCTGCTTATGCAATCCTCATCCGGTATTGCCTGGAGTTCTGTTGAATGTGGAGATGTTTCTAATGATGCCTCTTTGAGCCCCTCTCTCTCTCACGACCAACTCTTCAGCATTGTTGATTTTTCGCCAAAGTGGGCATACACAGACTTAGAAACTGAGGTATGAAAGCTTTTGTTAGATTTGAAAAGTTAAGTTTCTGCAGCGACTAGCATAATGAAGATTTTATTTAACCACTTGCTTATTCTCTTGGCCTTTTCCTCACCTGTTTCTTATTTAAAAGTTGATAAATTGTAATGTTTTTATTACTTGTGCATTCTTCGATTTTATTCTTCGTCTTACTTTTGGCTGGTACTTTGAGGCGTGCATAACCGTAGCATGCTAACTGCTTAAAGTTCTCAGTGGCTTCATCTGCTAATGGTTTTACTCTCTTTTGCTTAGATTTAATTATTACACCTCCAATCACTCCTCCCTCCTTTAAATGTATAATTAGCTTTTGGTTTTCTAGAATTTTGTGATGTCCATTCTTATTTGATAGATGCCCAACTTAGTAAAAAATGGTTCCCCCCCCCCCCCTCATTTTTTGCATAATGAAACAGGTGTTGATTATTGGGACATATTTGAGGAGTCAAGAGGAAGTAGCAAAATGTAACTGGTCATGTATGTTTGGGGAAGTGGAGGTTCCAGCTATGGTTATCGCAGATGGTGTTCTTTCCTGCCATGCTCCGCCTCACAGTGTTGGGCAAATCCCTTTTTATGTTACATGTTCCAACAGGTTAGCTTGTAGCGAAGTCCGAGAATTTGACTACCGTGCAGGATTCACTAAAGAAATAAATATTTCAGATATCTATGATGTTGTGTCAAGAGAAATGCTGATGCGATTTCAGAGGTTACTTTCTCTGCAATCTTTCAGTCATACTAATCATCACTCTGAAGGTGTTGGGGAGAAGCGAGATTTGATTACTAAAATTATATCAATGAAAGAGGAAGATGAATGCCACCAGATTGTTGATCCCTCTGAAAAGGATTTGTCTCAACATGAAGAACAAGAGTGCCTCCTTCAGAAATTGATGAAAGAGAAGTTGTACTCTTGGCTTCTTCACAAAATAATGGAAGATGGTAAAGGACCAAATGTATTAGATGAGAAGGGTCAAGGTGTACTACACTTAGCTGCTGCACTTGGTTATGATTGGGCAATGAAGCCTACTGTTACTGCTGGAGTTAGTATAAATTTCCGTGATGCAAATGGATGGACTGCACTTCACTGGGCTGCTTTCTGTGGAAGGCAAGGACCTCTAAACTTGTTTCTGTTATATGCACCTAGAGTTTTCAATTTATAATGTGAAAAATTCTCACTGAACTGACAGTAATTACGTATGTATTGTGGTTATAAAATCATTTGGCAACATCTTAGGTGTAAATGAATGCATTAATTTCGTGGCTTTTTATAAAGTAAATGCTCTATTAGAAGAAAAACTTGTATACTTTGGTTATGCGTCTGAATCTTTGTTTGCAAAATCCAGAGAGCAAACAGTTGCTATTCTAGTGTCCCTGGGAGCAGCACCTGGAGCTGTTACAGACCCTACTTCAGAATTTCATTGGGGCAGAACTCCTGCGGACTTGGCTTCTGACAATGGACACAAAGGAATTTCGGGTTTCCTTGCAGAATCTTCTTTGACCGGTTTCCTTTCTTCTCTTACAATGAATGATAAAAAAGAAGCTGTACAAATAGTTTCTGAGCGAGTGGCAACTCCAGTTTATGATAGTGATGTACAAGACCTATCACTGAAAGACTCAATTACTGCTGTATGCAATGCTACACAAGCTGCCCATCGTATACATCAAATGTTCAGGATGCAATCCTTCCAGCAGAAACAGTTGAGTGAGTCTGGTGACGGTGTGTCAGATGAGCATGCCATTTCACTTCTAACTGCAAAAGCACGCAGGCCATTGCAAATTGATCGTGTCGCCCATGCTGCTGCAACACAAATTCAGAAAAAGTACCGTGGTTGGAAGAAAAGAAGAGAATTCTTATTGATCAGGCAAAGAATTGTCAAAATCCAGGTTCATTGCTGCTTTTGTCTTTGCTGATGGCTTCATTTCTTGGTTTATATTTTCCTTTCTCTTCTCTGAACTTTTTCTTTGGAAAAGGGTTATTTTATAATCTGATCGTATGTGTTTGTTGTATGGTGAATTATATGCTATCCTGTGTTTGGAAATCTTAAGCGACAATAATTTGATGTTCGAGGTGTTACATAGGCAGTTTTTTTATGATTATGATTTTACACTTCTTTTAGAGATAATAACATGAAAGGGATTTGAGTATCTCATATTTAGGGGGTTTGGCCATTTCATTGAAAGTGATTGTAAGCTTGTAGTGGATTGGATCAAAGACCAAGCTTTAGTTCCTGTTTTCCTTACAAATTTTGTTAAGGAAATTGTGTCTATTATTTCTGTTAGAGATTTTATTGTTAGGTGGATTCCAAGATGTTGTAATTGCGAGGCTGACAAGCTAGCAAAGGAGGGGATCGGGTGATTTTGCATTCTGTTTTCAGTTGGGGATTGTTTTACAGATATGTTACTATAGGAGTGTGTGATGTCTTATGTTGTTTGTAAAAGTGTATTTGAGTCTTATGTAATTCAACTAACATTAATAAATTGAGGTACTCTTTTCCTCCTTCCGCTAGTTGGTTCTTACCTTAGGGCAAAGAACCACTAAGAGGGAGGTTTTTAATGAGACCTCCTATTCCTATCAATTTTTTTTTTTTGCTGACTGCTACTGTGATGACTTTTACCATCTTTTAATTGTATGAGTGTTTACTATATGTTGTGTGTTATTTTTGGGTGATTTATATGTTGTTTATTCATGAAAATTTGGAAAAGTGAATTCATCATCTTATGAAAAAGTGTAAAATTGCTAGTTTAAGGATTTGTTGATGTATTATTTACCTCTAAGCTTTAAAATCTTGAATTCGAATAATGATTTGAAATTTTATGGTGCGAAGGCCCATGTTAGAGGACACCAAGTGAGGAAACAGTATAGAACAATCATATGGTCCGTAGGAATTCTGGAGAAAGTTATTTTACGGTGGAGACGTAAAGGGAGTGGCTTGCGAGGATTTCGACGGGATGCAATTACTAAGGAACCTGACCCACAGTGCACGCTCTCGAAAGAGGATGATTATGATTTTCTCAAGGAGGGAAGAAAACAAACCGAGGAAAGGCTGCAGAAGGCACTTACTAGGGTAAAGTCCATGGCTCAGAATCCTGAAGGACGAGGCCAATACCGAAGGCTGCTTACATTGGTTCAAGGGATTCGTGAAACCCAGGTAAATGTTATTTTCTTTTACATAGATTTCTACTTTAGCGACGTTTACAATTCAGCAGACTTCAATGATGTTAGTTAGTTACCCTTGACAAGTTGATCTGTCCGATATTTTGTCTTTGCACCTTGAACTTGTTTTGTTTCTGTCATTCGCTGTTGCTTCATCTGGATGTTGTTAACTGGCCAAGGCCAACTATAATCTGGCTAAGGTCTTCTTTGATTATTCTGAGACCTTTCTATTACTTAAGGCCAATCAATGGCTTGGTCTGATCTATCTTTCCTTTGATTATTAAGATCATTGCAAGCGTCTCATTAGACCGATTTTAAATTCTTGAGATTGTATACCATAGTTTTAATTGTGAAAATGTGTTTATTACTCAACAAATTCGCATTCGACAGCCTTTTTACCTCGATATCTTATCAAAACACTGACCATTTTGAGATATTTTTCTACAGAATTGCAATATGGTACTGAGCAGTACAGAAGTGGGTGATAGTGAGGGAGACGGCGATGAAGACCTCATCGATATTGGCTCTCTTTTGGATGATGAAACTTTCATGTCTATTGCATTTGATTAAGCTCCTTCAAACCTTGCCCCAACATATCCAACCTGTACATAAACTGGTACAGCAGCTACGTAGCCAGCAGTATGAAGGGTTTTAACTTGGGTTGTCTGTCAATATGGCATCTAACGTACATGGTTTGTTTGTAAGTAACATGGAAATTCTGTTTTACTTTTTCAGGTTAAAAATAGTGTTTTTAATCCCATAAATTCGTTAATTCAAGGGTTAGAGTGTAGTATTTATTGATTCCTGGGAAGATTTAGTTGTAAAATCTGTTGAGAGGAAGGGATTATGAGTGACATTTTAGAGTGTAATTATAAACATATTGATCCCCTGTGTGTGCTTATTTTCTGCTTAAATCTCTCTTCCTTTTTTATCACATGAGAAAACAAAATGCATGTTATTTCTCCATGCCACTTTTGAGTTACAGCAACAAAAAGTTAATGAAATGGATTTCTATTTTGTGCTCATTAGTGAAGTGGATTTCTGCTCAAGAACAAAACAAGTGTCGTGAGAGTGAATGTACATATCGAGTCCTTTGGCATTGAGGAAATTAGAGCATTGGCACACGTCCTCCCATGCACTTCACACATTTTCCTCTCCATTTTATTCTTCCCTGTTTCTGGGCACAAGTCATTTGATTGGATGGTGCTGATCGGAAACTAGCTTTGGAGGTAATTTCCGAAGTATAAACAACACCAAAGCTGACGAAAGAATCTCTACCAACTGCCAAAAAAGAAGTAACACAACTGCCGTCAATATCTATTAACCTAAAGTGTTTGTCAAAGAACACCAGCTTTAGTTATCATCACACAAGAACCTCTAGGAAACAATCATGTACGGTCAATATTCATAATGCATTGAACGTCTTAAACAAACTGGTGGAACATGACCGAAGTTCGATCTAATCGTATAGCATGAATGAATGAGTTGCACACTCCAGAAATCAAATGTACCACGTAGTAGATAAGGTTTAGGAGGGGATGGTATATAACATCGACATCAGCATCCTCATCAAAGGCCGAGACCGTGACCTGCAAAGTGAAACCAATAGAAACAATCTCTTGTTATGTATAAAGAAGTTTATGTAGTATTTACAATTTTATTTTTTGATCCAACATGGCTCACCATGAGGCATCTTATGACGAAACTAGCACAACATATCCCTGTTACGAAGCCAACCTGCCATGGAAATAAGGTCGAAAACCATGTCGAGTGACAGATAAACAGTTGAAAGGGTATCAGAAGTCTTTACAAATTACAAGTTAACAAACCTCAAGCAGCTTTTTTTGACGACCTCTGGATTCGATAGGGAAGCGTCTCAACATGAAGAACAATCTAAGAATGTAAAGAACAGAAAAGCGAAGAAGGAACAGGAACTAAATTCTGTCAGAGGGTTGATATCGACTCTTACCTCCCACCATATAAAATGAACCCGGATGCAGCACAAAGCGAAACAACTGCAAAATGCAAAGCAGTACGCCAATGCATCAGCTTTTCAACTCACCCGAATATGTCCGTTTACTTCTTCGGAATCTATTCATTTGTGAACTTTGTACAAACGGTTACTCAAACCATGTCATGGCATTAAATTCAAAGCAGATTTAAAGAAGAAAAACTTACTTGAAATGAAGACTCAAGCAAATTCGATTGCAATCAGGCTTTTACTTAATCGTACGGATTTATCAATCTCATCCCACCAACCAAGCATTCCTACGACATCTTTCAACAATGATGTTTTCCCTGCTAGAACAAAACCCTTTACTCTCACCATCTGAAGGAACTTCCCCAACTGTGAAAAACAATGGAAAATAAGTAAATAAAATGAAATTTTAAAAAAAAGCAGAAAAATTAGAGAATAGAGAAAACAGCCATTGATAAATGGGAAGAAAGTAATGAGAGAGGAGAAGGGGATGGAGGGTGGGGACACGTGGAGGGAAGAGAAGGAAGACACTTAGGTAGAAGTATGCCACTTGTGGATAGAGCATAACGGTCGAAACATGTACAATTAGTGCCATATTCGTGGATTTCGCTAACGGACAGTTAACAACATCGTCGCTAGAAAAATGTTCTAAAACTAAAGCTCAAACTTTAACCGGATATTGCTGTTGACTTGACTTCGTAAAAATTATTCAAATAATAAATTCGATGGATTATTAATTGTCACACTGTATTCATGTGTGTTCATCACGTAAGGATACGTATGTGAAATTCGTAGTTGAGACTAAGCTAGGCAACATTTGTTAAAATTCAATCAAAAACTTGTAAGAATTTTAATTTTTAAGTCAGGGGACCATTGAACTTAAGATGATATTGGAAGGACTAAAAGTGTAATTTTTTTTCCTTTAGAGAAATCAAATCTAATTTTCATTGAATGTTTTGCTTGTAGGCGTGGGTTATGGGGGCAAAAGGTAAATAGTGACCTAATTTACCGCGTTTCCTTCATCTTCTTTTCTTTATTCCTTCTCTCATATTTTCCTTAGAATTATAGCTTTTAAGCTGGTAAAGGATCTATTTCGATCAACTAGCTTATCATTTTGGGATGAAGAAAGTAGGATATGTGATCTCCATTTCTAAACCTCTAAGAAAAACTTAACATCTTTCATGAAAGATGATGTGAAGCAGGCTTGAAGTTTTATAAGGATTTAGGTCAATGGGATTGTTCTAAACTTTATCCCTAACATCTATGAGGTTCTAAAATTGTGTCATTACTTTCTTTAAAATTGTGTTTAATTTTTATTTCATTTTAGTGTTTATTGATTAGTGAAAGAGGGATGAGAATCTTCTAATATAAGGGAAAAGGAAAAGATTTGTGAAAGCTAATTAAGAGAGTTTTCGGTTGCTAAATTTGAGGTAGTACATTTTGAACTGTTAAATGTTTGTTGTATTTCATAAATTTGATGCTTTGCATGTTGGTATAATGCATATTGGGTGTTTTGAATGTTAAGCATATTTTAATGATCTTGATGATGATTTGTTGTTAAAATATGTTAAAAATGGTGTTAAATAATGTCTTAATAATCCCTTAGACTTTATGCTATGATTAAAAACAAGTGTTAGAAGTGTTTGGAATTGATTTTTCGAGTCTTGTTAAGAGTTCTATGGATTGTAGAATAATATTATTCATAGAGTATTGATACTGTATGAATTTAGCATTGAGAATTTGGATTTTAAAGGGCTGATATCAATACTGATTCATGTACTATCGATATTGTATGAACAATATCGATATTCCCTTGGACAATATCGATATTGAATAGTTCAAGAGATTTAAGTGTGTTATTTTGGTATCGATACCATCAATTCAGTATCAATACTTCCCATTTGGTATTGATGCCATTGAGTGAGTATTGATACTCAAGTATCCATATTCTTACTCAAGTATCAAGTATTCATGCTCTTTGTTTGAGCATTCATACTCTTTGTTTGAGCATTCATACTCTGGTTGAGTATTCATACTCCCCAATGTTAAAAGATTAGAAAGATCTCATGATGCACTAACTATGATTTGCTATGAAATGAATAAACAAACTTAGTAAGAGGCCTTAATTCATGAAATGACAAAAATACCCTTAAATAATATAAATAATCAAAATACACCAAAGGCCGACTAAATGGGTTTTGAAGGTATAAAACATGAGAAATTGAGGAGAATAGCCTTAAGGCTTATGAATGAGTCTGAGCAACCTTAAATAAGTTAAAATGACAATAAATTTTGTGCGTATAAAAGATCAAAATACCCTTAAAGAGATTAACTACGAAAACATTCATAAGGGTTTAAAGGCAAATCTTTAAATGAATAAAAATAGTGAATTATCTATAGGGTTTATCAGTATGTCAATAAATCTAGGTGTTGAGACTCGTGAAAATGTCTTGAAGATTAAATAATTAAAATGCCCTTAAGAGTAAAATGACAAAAGCTTCTTATGTGAATAAGAGAATGATAATTTCTCATGACATGAATAAATCCTTCGTAACCATATGATGAGAACATATTAAGGGTCATAAGCTACGAAAATATCAACATATTCTTGTATAATGTTCTAAAAGAAAGAACGAGTTATGATTGAGAATAATATGAATAAAAACTTGAGAGGAAATGTTTGTGTCTTATTGATGCATACATGTTATTATTGTGTATGGCCTATGGCCTTAAGATGTTTCTCATTAAATTAGCTTATCATTTTATCGTCTTATTAACATTTAACAGTTCATACTTGTTCTTTTAACAAAATCTAAAATTTAATACTTATTTTATAACTTTTAAAAGTCAAGTGATAAAAAAAATCATTTTCACAAAATTTAATAATTATTTATAAATTTTATTATATTTTATATTAATAATGCATACCAATATATGATATTAATAGTGTATATCAATATATAACACTCGTTGTAACATCCTATAAGCTTCGGCCTGAGGCTAGAAGAGCCCATAGCTGTTTTTAACAATTGGGTTTTGTTGCCCCAACTCCAAAGATTTAGTAATATTTTTCGACACCTAATGAACACTCCAACGTCTAATTATTAGCTAAAACCTAGTCTATAGATCTAGTAGTATCGGTTTCATTTATAATCTGGAGGGATAAACTTGACGGTAAACATTCAAACACTCTCACATACGTCGTGTCTAATCTAAAACCTTTAAAACTAATAACTATTTTTAATTATGGAGATCACTTCAACTTATGAAACATTGACCGAATAATCATGTTGAGATATGACTGTGAACAATACATATTATAATAGGCACCACTTTATTTGTATTAATTACCTTTAATTCAAAGTACGTATCAACGTAAATTTAATTAAACGCTAGCATATAGAAGGATAAAATGAAAATGTATGAAGATATTGGGAAACAATGCATATATTTGACTCCAATAAAAAGGCGTGGGTGTGTCGACCGACGACTTTTCCCTTTGGCCAAACAGCTTGAATCCACTGTCGGCCCATGGCAATATAATGCCAAGCTGCTGGAATAATATATTATATTCTTTGTTTTGTTTTATATGACATTTTTTTCCAATATTTATCCCAACTCTTAGTATGGATTGGAAGTAAGGTGGGCAGTGATAGGGTAACTCCCTAAATCCTGAATTGTGTGGAGCATTGAAGTTTTAATTCACTAGTGACGTGGTTGGTGCATGAATCCAATTGCTTATCTTGAAAAAGTCCATATCAATCGAAGTGTTACCTTTCTTTTCTTTTACAACCTTGGGAAGACCCACTCCAACCCCTATTACTTCACAATCCAACAACTTTTCTTAAATTGGTAGTGGAACAACATACTGTTATATAATGTATATTTGGGTACATACATCATCAATCAATAAAATAATATCATATATTATTGTACTTCTTCCAGACTTTTCATATAAATTAAAAGAGATAAATACTAAAAACCCATCACAAATTCATTCCTCCTATTAACATATATTACTAAAATAAAATAAATACAAACAATTCACGATTTTTCAAATGGTCATCATTTGATAGGAATTCATGAATTTGTGAAATGATAGGTTGAAAAACAGTCCACAAGAAGAGGGGTCCATATGATTGGCTTTACTTGGAATGGGTTTGATTTCTATTTTGTTCTCTATAATATTGATTTTCCGGGAAGGCATGCAAAGCACCAATAAAGTCTTTGCAACCAGACACAAATGGGGCTATCAAAATCAATATCATACGTCAAATTATATATAGGGTTGGGTAATGCTTATTTTGACCTATAAATCATATTGGTTTTTAATTTAGAATTAATTTTTTTATTTTTGTGTATATAATATTTCAAATAAAGGAAACAGTATTTAAATTTAATGGTTGGTTTCAATACATAAGAGTAGAATACCAAGGTTGTGCGGTCGACGGCTCGAGACGCATCGGAGCTGGTGATATTAGCACTAATACCCACATATTTATGGAATTAATTGCCGACCAACTCGTATATTAAGAACCCCCGGCTTAATTCAACTATAAAAAAAATTCTCTAGAGCTGATTTGTTTTTTTATTGGTGGTAGTAACTTGAATAAAGGGAAAAGGTAAGCAAATGTTGGACTATGTGTTTGGATTAATTAAAATTAAACCAGATGCCTCTAGGGTTATAAATCAATGAGTCAAGCTCAACTCTCGATAAATTAGACTCAATTCAAAAATTTTAAAATTGAGTTTGACTCGACTTGAATGTTCGCGAGTTTAAAATTATAAATCTTGATTCAAATTTGAAATAAAAATTGAAGTTTGTCTCGAGTTCAAAACATTCTCAGGCTTAGCTTGATTAAAGCTCGAACTCGAGCCGATTCAAGCTCAAACCTGAACCTTAAGTATATGAAAACCTTATATTATGTTTTTTTTATATAAAAATAACATATAAATGCTAATATTATTAATAATTTAATTTTTAAAAAATAAAAAATAATATATATTTTTCCAATTGCCTGTGAGATATTTTAAGTTAAATATTAAATAACTCATTTTAACTTATTAAATAATTTACGATCTATTATCATGAACGGCTCTAAATGCCTTTTTTTATGGATATAAGTATTTATAAACACATAATCAAATAATTCTAGC